GTTGCAGAATATGGGGAGGGAGTGCCGGAGGTTCATGTACACGCCCGGAAGTGGATGCCTGACTGGAAACGTTAGTAAACAGCTGACGTAAGTGGTAGTCTGACTGACGAAAGGGGAATGCTGGCACCTCAGTAAGGTGGACTCCGGAATGCGTGGGAGGGGAGGTAAGTGGACCATGACCTGAAACCGAACGATGATGGCGGGAAAATGCACGTAAACCACGAAACCGGCAACCCCGCAGTTAATAGCGCAACTGCCGCGCATGCGAACTGCCCAGACAATTGGCAGAGATTGCAGCGCTGTCAGAAACTGAGGAGAGAGTGGGGCCGCAGAAAATGCCGGTTTTGAGCGGAACGAACTTTTCGGTAACATTGGTAGTTGCGGGAAGGATCCGAACGGGATGTGACGACAGGAAACCGGTTATTTTTACCAGCATGCGGTTGCGCCATCTTCATTCTGAACCGGCACCGAAGAAAAGCTTCATTCGAACAACTCCCTCAAATCCCAAGTCCGTTTCGATGTCCGATGAAGTACCGAGAAATTAAGAAATAATTTAATGCATGACTGGTATCAAACAATTCCCGACACTTAACCTGCTTGATGCCTATCAGCCTCCCAGCCAACGAAAACGCGACATGGAACGAGTTAGTTCACTAGCAGCGTTTTGTAAGCGGAGGAACTTACTATTTATATGTGACCGCAAAGTTCCACGAATAGACTGAAAAATTACCATAGCAAACGCCCTGTCCACATTATTCGAGCACAAGATACTGCTATTTTCTCTAAATGAATACTTTGGTCAACGCATAAAATTCGGAAAAAGACTGAGAGAAGAACAACTTTCTAACGGCATGGATCTCATTTTCTGTAAAGAAAAAGAAACGATATGGGAAAGAATTGTACAATCTCCACTAGGCTTAGGTGAGTATATTGCTTTTACCTGCATGTGGTCTCTCCTATCGAACTCATAGCCACAAATAAAAGGGCACAGAAAAGTCAAATACTATGTTGAAAACTAAAAAAAAATTGGTATCTACGTCTTTCTAAGATTATAGGAGATCTTGGGGTTACCACTTAGAGATGAACGCCCAAGCGCATATATTTTCAATGCCACTTATATACGTGCGTGTTTCAGGATATTGAGTGCCAAAGGTTTCTAAAATTCGTAAGATGCTATATAGTCTAGTTAGGATGTACGCTTAAACGTGGACTTCGGTCCGAATTCGCTAATCGCATTTAAATCCACTAAGTAAAAGCCGCGAAGGTCGCAGGGCGAAGTCTCTCAGGTCATGGCCAAGTCGGTCTCAGCCCGGCAAACAAAGCGTCACAAGGAAACAGATAAAATTTTGAAAGATGAAACTGCAGACGAATTTTATATCTGCTCCAAACCCCAGGTCAAATATAAGAGGAAGCAGCAGAGGCCCGAAGATTCTACATCTGTTCGCAGTCCGATGAGAGTACATTCTCAAAGAACTGAACGAAAGCGCACAAAAAGCGAAATAGCAACAGTAGGCCAAAATTTACAGCAACAACAACAACCCAGAACATCCGGCCAAAGGGCACCCGACGTATGCGAGGGGCGTACGCTTTTCATAAGGTACATCCACGTCATTTTGGGGATAATCAGAGACGGCTAGAAATGTTCCGTTCGATGCGGACGAACACCGTCTCCAGGAGTTCTTTTCAGCATTTGGTGAACTGGAGTTCGTCAAAATCGTTAAGGACAAGGTAACACAGCATCCCCGTGGGACGGCGTTTGCCAAATTTGTGCGCAAGGAAGACGCTGACCGCGTTTTGCTAGACAGCTCAAGGACGGAGGTAACTACCTCATTTTTGCAATACTTGCCCTTTCTCAGTCTGATGCACATGTTCCTTAGACCTCGCCTTAATTGACCATAAACGAATATTTACACTCCTCGACAGTTCTGCGTTGCCTCCCGTAGCTGCCAAAACATCTCAGTAAATGCTGATTTGTGAAAACGTCTACTAACGGAAGGATTTCTGTTCTTCCGCTTCTGACGTAACCTACTATACGACAACCACTTGGCGAGTCCTGCAGTGCAGTTGCGTCACCACGGTCATTGGCAACAATCAATTATTTGCTTATCCTGTCTGTCCAATTCTCTTACCTCTTCCTCAAGCTGTGTGCATTCCTTGCCAATGAATTGATAGATCGAAACACAAGTATTCAGAAACCTCTTAATAGGTTTCGATGCAGCTGTCGACACACTATTTGCGCAGCCCAAGTGACAAGATGTACTCCTTCAGAAGGGCACGAACTATGTGAACTTTTAAAAGACAAAACTGTATGGAATTGTACACTCGGTAGCATGTCTTGCACAGATCCTGCTAGTACCTTCTTAAAGTTTATTTTGGTCAGACTCTGATTGCATCAGAACGACAGTTAACAACGTTGCTAGTATGCCAAATGTCCCGGATAAAGCACAAGCGCCTATACATGCTTATTGTTTTCAGAATTCCCACAAGTTCATTTTCGCTGGTCGTCAGCTGATCATATCCCTCGCAGTAACTCCTAGCGACGTCAAGAAGCTACAAGAAGCACGCGCTGGTGGCCCGGCGGTAGATTCCGTAAGCAATATCAGCAGCGGACGAAACCTCCATTTAGCGCGAGTCGGAAGTGAGTTTTCTCTGACTTGACCTTTTCTTCAGACTCAGACTTGAACTGTTATACCAAGACCGCGATCTCCCCTTCTGCTTCGCTACAATTCATTCATGCGTATTTTATTCGTAGTTCAATATCTTAGGCCACAGGGTCCCGGTTTACCTTGAGATATAGCCCCCTCCCTCAAAAAAGCCCTTTCTCGTTCTACGTTCCCTTTATCTTTGTAAACCATGTTTTCAACCTTGCTTATCCACGCAGAGAATATCAAGTTATGCTCACCATCAAGACCTGAATAGCATGTGACTATAATACTTAACTGCCAATTGATCTCGATTCAAATCCTGTGTGTTCTGGTGTTCTGTTGTGACCAGTTAGAACGGTAAGGAAACTGGAAATGACCATTCCCCTTGACATTTGAAATTGTTTATAGCTATGCGACCGCCTAGTTGATCTGCCTAGTAGGAACTGCAAGGCAAACCAGAGAAGCACGTCTCGTCCTATAGCCATCTTGATATGACATCGCGTACTCGACTTTGAATATTTCCGATAACAGCGGGCAAGGCCGGCTGCGGCTCAATTATTAGTGTTTAGCTGAAGTGTTGGGTGGATGGCTGACCCTGACTCAAACGTCAGGTGCCACTGCCACTAGGTTTGGGGCTTTGTCGGGTGGCGATGGCAAATAGGCCTGAAACTGCGGTTCTTGTCTACTCTATACCTGTTGGTCTTCTTTCTACATTTACTGGACTATTTCACAACAGGTATTCTTATTTGCTGCAAAGCAGACCTTTTGATTTGTTCTACGTTAACCCTGTGCCCCTCACTTCACACTACAGTGATTCGTGCTGGCACGGCCGCCGCGGAGGGTCTGACGCCACAAGAACTGGCCATGCGGGAGTCCCTTATGCGAGCAAAGCAGGCCAAGCTTAGAGATCCCAGCATATTCATCAGTCCTCTGCGTCTCTGTCTGCGCAACATACCAACCACCGTGGACGACAAAATCCTCAAGAAAGTTTGCCGCCGACTGGCTGGTCCCACGGCCCACATCACTGAGGTAATTAGTCCTCCACAGTCCCAAATCTTGCTATTTAATTTACTTTTTATCTGGTAGTATTTCTATTGTCTACGTGGTAGCCAAGGAAAGTCCAAAGACTTAGGTAGCTCCAAAGTAAAAAGCGGCGAGCTGAATTAGGAGCAATGATTGCTCATTCTACGATCAAGTAAAGCCAACTCGACTGGCAATTTGGCAATTGACGAAACAAAAATACGCCAAGCATATGTGTACTTGGGTATATTTAACGCGGACTGTCCATGCGTCCAGGATGCAAGGTGCGTATCCTAAGGAGGTCTCGACAGGGGACCTTTTTTTCCTGTCACGCCATGCAGACATGGAGGCATGCACAAAATATTCTTTCCTTTACTCATTCGGTAGGAAATTACGTCTTCAAATTTCATGCTGAGAGAAAGAGTATCATTTGGTTTCGAAAAAGTTTCTAATTATGAGGTTTTTGAAGACCACGAAATGGCCAGTCGTGCAGCATCGGAACAGCGCATTTATTAATTCTGCTTACGAAGCGGACAACGTAGTCCACCTCCATTACGCAATTTTATGATCCCTATATGTCCTTTCCATAATATCACTTAGAAATGTATGGTTTTCCTTGCACGAAAAGTGTACAGCTTTTAGTTCGGAAGCCCTGAATGCAAGTGTAACGGCAGGCCGAGTTCAAAATCATTCGGGATTGAGAAGACTTTCCAAAACCGAAAGATACTCATTCTTCAGGTTTAAGATTTTGTAGTTTGCTACCAGATGAGTAGAAGGAAGAGATATTTGGGCATGTTTTCTATGAAGTATATTCGAATTTATAAGGATATTAGAAATTAACGAGAAAAAACTTCATGCCAATTAGGTAGTCATTTTTTACGGAAATAGTTCATGCGAGCGGTAGAGATAGAGAGAGCCCATTCTAAAGTCGTCATCCCGACTTGACTGAATTACCTTAACATTATGCGCCAGGATGATAAACATTCCAACCCTACTTAAGCAATCTTTTGGAATTGAAAACAGTTCAGAGTCGCAGTCAACATTTCATGAGATAGCGTCTCTACTGTACTCTTTGCAACTAGCACTACTTTTTAATGATAAACGATTGGGTCAGATGTTTTTGAGAGATCACCTGTGTTTTCGTGCGTCGTTTAAATGTTCAATTAACGTAAATCCCCCAAAATAGCAGCTTCGTTAGATTTACCTTGACCAGGAACGACTGCCATGCGTCTTGAGCGGACTTCAAGGAGCTGTGGATGTAGGCTAGGCAGACGCTATAGTTAATGCGACAAAACAGTCGCCAAATTGAGAATTTTTCCACCAGAAATATTCTTTCCTTTCAAATAGCGAATTTCAGCAATAATTGGTTTCTTATAGAGGAGCTTTAAAAGTGAACTTTTTCTAACGCTTCTTGGTAGAATAATTGACTTTTAAAGGGAGCGACCTTTTTTCGACTGCGACCGGTCCGCATGGCTGAGATGAATTTTGATTGAAAGCGAGTAGACGTAGTTAGTGAATTAATTTTTATGCTCTACTATCAGGTCTCTAATATTGCACAACCTGTTGATAATTTTACTTCTCTCAATGTTTTGATATGTTTGGTGCATACAATATGCGCATTTTCTCAGCCGGCGCTGACGTGGTTTTCGGTTTTGATCACGTTGAAGACCAAACTTCCTTAAAACGGCCTGTTTCTGTACGAATTTCGGCTCTTTGAAAATACCCAGCGATGTTGAGGTGGTGACTTTAGCATGAAGGTCACCCATTTTAATAAATAGAAGGGTAGATATAATATGTTTTCAAGGAGGATCTTATTCTTCCCTCCGTGATCGGAACCTCTGGCCTAGGTTGCCACAAATGCACAATCGTGTAGAACTCTGGGCTGCTTAAATGCTGCTACGTTGTTTTGCTTGACGATAACTGGATCCGATCGGCCAAAAGCAATTTGGTGCACATATGTGTATCAAAGTCGAAGGGCTACATCGGGGGCTGGATGATGTCTTTCCAGCCATACAATTTACCTTTGAAGAAGGAGTAGGAGACAGTCTGCCGTTTCTGGACGTGAAAATACAAAGGCTGAACGATGGTAGTCTCGCAACCAGCGTCCGCAGAAAAGGGTCTGATTCTGAGATCACCCCCAATTATGGAAGGAATCATCCTGCGGCCCACAAAAGAAGCTGCGTCCGAACTCTCTTCCACCGGGCCTATCGTTATTGAAGAAAGAACTAGCTTTTTTGTATCGGATCTAACGGATATTCGGTCAGTTTTATGAAGAACTGCCTCAGGCGTTAGGCATAATCTCGAGGCCCCTCCTCAAATGGAGAAATCGTGACACATAAACTCTTTTCCCTGCCCTATATACAGGGTACCTCAGGAATGATCGCCCGTCAGCTAAATCAGTTCGGTATCCGCGTTGCCCACAAGACTGCATTCTCGATGCGCGCAGCCTTATCTCGAGTAAAGGATCTTATCCCCAAAGAGGAGAAGACTAATGCCATCTATCGCATCCCATGTGCCAATTGCCCCTGCGTATATGTTGGTCATGCAGGACGACGCCTGGGAACTAAAATTAATGAACAAAAACCAGCTGTCCGTCTCCGTGACCCACTGTCCCTCGTCTTTGCACACGCGCTCCAGTGCGACCACCGATTCAGTTGGGATGACACTGAGGTCATCGCCACAGTCAACACAAAGTGGCCGAGAGAATTCCTAGAGAAATGGTACTCTAATGCGGACAGCATAAACCGCCACGTTGACCTAGACGCTCATAATGAGGACCTAAGATCACGTCTCACTAAGCCGAGCCCCACGCCGTCAGCGGCCGCTAATCTAGGCGCCCGCAGCTCCGCCAGCCTACCATGCTCCCTCCCCCTCCAACACGGGGAGCCGTAACTATTCTCTCTCCCCCCTTCTCCCCTCCCGGCTCAGAGCGCAGCGTGACTCCTGCCCACATCATTCCGCAGATGTTAATGGTCCGCCTGTCAATGTCCTATCACGTCAACTAGTCTAGTGGGACTGTCTCACTTTGTCTTTTATCTTCATTTCGTCTGACGACGGTTGGTGTCACTAACTCGAAAATTCACGAGTACAACTCGACTTTTTCCAAAGAACCTCTTCCCTTTCCATTATATCGTCTCGTAATGCATACCACCTCTGCTCTACAACATATGTGTGTAGCTACCGTAACCAATAGCGGTACGAGGCGCCGGTATACCGTTTCAGAAAGTAAACTTTCCGACAGGCTCACATGACTTCCAGGAGCTCCAAGTTCATCCGCTGCATGCTTGATCGTCCTTGCTTTGAAAACTGATGGCATTATACTCTACGACCCGAGGGTAGGCCAGATGTCTTATCAGACTGGTTTCTGTCACCTAAGTTATCAGCACGTATTTGGTATACGACAGGCGGACGCGAAATGCCTTGTCAATCACCGCGCCGATTTGACCTGGTTTTCTCACCAAATCACCAATCTTTAGGTAGTTTTCCTGTTGAAACACGGAAGTATCCTGACAAGATAATCTTTACCATGGTCGTAATATAACTCCTTCCCACCGTCTTTGCACCTCCAGTGTCGCGTCATGCGGGACCTCAAGAGCGGAAAGTCAAACCCCAAATCTCTAGGCTATGCCTTCGTTGCTTTTGACGAACACAAGGACGCCCTAAAAGTCCTTCAGGTCCTCAACAACAACAGTGCCATTCTTGGAGGCAGCCGCGTAAGTCCATTGTTCTAGTTCTGCCTCCTCCCATTTCCACGACCTCTACGCCTTTCTCGTTGTCTAGCACTTTAAACAGACCGCGGGCCAAGTCTCCTTTGTTGTTGTTGTTGTTGTCGTCGTCGTCGTCGTCGTTGCTGTTGTTGTTGTCGTCGTTGCTGTTGTTGTTGTCGTTCTTCTTTTTCTTAATCTTCTTCCTCTTCCTCCTCCTCCTCCTCCTCCTCCTCCTCCTCCTCCTCCTCCTCCTCCTCTTCTTCTTCTTCTTCTTCTTCTTCTTCTTCTTCTTCGTCCTCTTCTTCTTCGCCCCTCTTCCCAACGCCGCTCTACTTTGCTCTCGGTATGTCCTTTGAAACTTTCCGAAAATGCGAGTCCCTAGGGTGCGCTGAAAGCAGCGGTCACAGTCCGGTAACCGCATGACCGTCAGACCCAGCTGATTCGTCTCCGAACGAATCCAAGTTTATCTGAAGGAGAAGCAGTTGCATGGAATTTCTAGACGAGGGCCTTATGTCCCATCTCATCGTCACTCTTCTCTACTCTGAAACATGATGGAGTTAGGAAATGAGACCCGCTGGCGCGCAAGTGTTTCTCATTATCATCCAGTCCTCGCGCAAGTCACCACTATTCTCCGGGAAAATGGTAGTCGTCGTCGTCGCGTCCGGTGGGCCCACTATCATTCACAATTTTCCTACTGTACGTTACACTGTGGACGTTTTCGACGATTTCGTAGATTTCTTCAGAGTAACGAACATTCAAGTCTGGCTCGCGGTCTTGGTATCCAGTCCTCTCTCGGGTTTTGTTGGTGTTCTTCAGTTTTGACGTTCATCATTACGCAGCTGCATCGTGACCTGATTTCGCGAGCAGTCATACAGTCACATGTTTACTGAAATAGTCCACCAAGCGAGCAGACGCGGAGACCTCAGGTACTGTCTGCCTATTTCGACTCTTTGAAAGCTTACAAGGGATGTTTCGAGCGCGCCCAGAAAATCTGAGGGTAGTAATGACCGCAAGGTTCATACACACGGGCGTCCCGAACCGGTGTTGAGTGAATCATGAGTCATCTGTTTCGGCAGCACATTCGCTGTTCGCATTTGCACCGGTTGCAAATCCTGTCGCAGTGCTGTTTGCGTCCGCCATCTGCCTACTCCCCCCCCCCCGCAATGCCACTGCACGTGTCCAGCCGGGTAATCCGCAGGAAAGTCCACATGGCGGTTGGTTGGTGTCACAACCGTTTGTCAGTCCTGCAGAGTCGCTGGCCGTTCAGTCTCCATGTCCTGCACTGACTGTCTGACACTACAAAACTTTTTACCAAGGCCGGAGAATACTAAAAATACTACCTTCCTGTGTTTTGGTGAATTTCGGACTTGACGATGTACTAACATACCGCGTTTTGGCAGTGAGGTCCATATTTGACTTCTCGTTTGCAGGCCAAGTAGTTCTAACCGTTCAAAATGTATTTTCTCCCCCTAGCGTCCTATCGTGGAATTCTCCCTCGAAAATTCTCGAGCCCTTGAAAAAAGACGCCGACGGGAAGAAAAGAGCAGGGTTCGTTTTTTTCGAAATTTATTTGACTCCACTGCTCAATCTACTTAATAACGAACAGTAGTAGTGCATGATAATTTTTACTTTCAACAGATGGTTCAACAGGCCGATCAGGTCTGTCCGCCTGCAAAAAAGCCCAAGGTGCTTATTCCACGGCCGAAAAAGGTAAAGGGTTCCACCAAAAACACACCCCGAATTCTCCCAAAGAAGTTCGGCGCAAAGATAAGGCACAATCGTCCTAAGGCGACTGCTGGGAAAGGCAAGAAGAAGAGTAAAACTGCCTTGCGGACACGGAAGGCGGGTCATGGCCGATCAGCCAAACGCCAGGCCAAAGCTCGAGGCTCGTAATCGTGCCACTTTTGTGCATTCTTTTCTACAACATGATCCGTGTACAGTTCTACTCTTGTTTAACAGACACAACTCACTCTGTCTACCTTGTCGTTTTTTCTGTGCTGAAATAATGAGCCCAATTGGCGAGACCGTAGGCTGTGGCGAGCATGATTGGCTTAGAATTTCAGTCAGTTCTTGTATATGAGGGGAAGGGGGGAGGACGCAAACCCATTTTTTGATCCAGAACATCGTCTTAATATCAAGTAGACGGTTTTATGACGGCGACACTATAACGCAGTTTGCTGGAAGTTAGACCAGATGCCAACCCTTTAGTTTTCTACGCAGGATATGACTTTTCACGCAGTCTGTGACGCTACTGTCATTCTCGACGGAGAAGAAGATGACTGGCTGGCGAGAAGGGCGTTCGCGATGGCCTCCTTGCGCTCGACGTTTCTACCTCGAGAGTAAATCAAGGTGACCGGGTGAGACCCAAAACGACAACCACGGAGAAACCACACCGAATTAATACTCCTTCCCAACACAGCTACTCGTTAAGGCAGTAGTGTCGGCCACAGCTTAATAAGTTGAGTGCAGGGTTAATGCTGCATATGAGGACGGCGCGACCATCGCACGTGATGAGGACCGTTTCCGTCATGGGTGGTAGGAGGAGAGGGTCGGGCTGTGATGGCTCCCTAGCGGCGCCTCGGCTCAGAAGGGATCCAAGCCATCACCCCTCTCCGTGGGGTCCTGGTCCATCGCGGACGAAGGGGGCGTGTGTGGCACGCGTAGACGGGTTTTTCGACTTTCGGCCATCGCCCGATCCTGCTTCCGGTCTTCTTGACTCCACCTTGACATGGTTCAGGTTGGGAAAGGAAGAGCGAGTGCGGTAAACTGTAAGTTGCAGGGCGAGGGTATAGTTCGTACCGGGGGGTCAGAAACAGTCTGAACAGCCCATCTAGCGGGAATGGTGATAATAGGGATTGGCAGTTCACGATACATTCCAGCCCTCCCTGAGTGCACAAGAGTTTCTACGGAAGGACGTCCACAATTACTGCATGCATTTAATGAAGAGCGTGGTATCCGGGCGTGTTTGCGGATCACCTGGTTCCGGACATAAACAGGCCGACAAAACGAAGTGAAAAGCGAAGATAGGGTAGAATTGGACCAGGACGCCGGAAGTAGGACTGCGGGTGGATTGTGGGGGGAGGGGGGGGGGTAATGCACGGCATTAGAATGCAGAGGACGAGGAGGGGGTGGGATCGCGTTGGCGGATTGAAACGACGGGGGGTCGAAGGGCGAATGGTGCTTCAGCAGATCTCCGGACTACTGCGTATGCGGTAGCCATTGTTGATTTGCAATAGGCGCGGAGGATCACGGCGCAGCGCGTGTAGATTTTCCCAGTGAGTGTGTAGGTTTACGGGCTTGTTAACACTACTTCTGTCCGAGTGCCATGCCTCCACAAAACCTGGTGCTTGGCCCGCCACGTTGATCACTTTGGCGCCGTCCCAATTGACGTACATATAATTCATCCCGGGGCTGGCTCGACCAACAATTCCCACCACCCTCCCTCACCTCCACCTCTACGGGGGAGGGGATGAAAGTACATGCGCACATGCCGTTGATCAGGAACGGCCATTTCTCACCGCCTTCCATTGAAAGGAGTTTGCGAAAAACAAACTGAACCTTCAGACGCAAAATCTCTTAACCCAGACTAACCAAAGCTGCACTGGAGTAGTTTGCGGTAGTGTCTTCTCCGAAGTAAATGAAGATCATAAGGGCAGAGTGGTCAGATTAAATGACCCGGAGGTCCACTGGATCCGCTTCTCAAAATTCCGGCAACTGAGGTTGGAATTTAATTGGGTGACGCTGACTATTAGATCCCAGTCAGTTCCGTGCCTAGTATGTGCTTGTCTGGCAGCCATTTGACGAATGGTCTCTCGTCGCTAGAGGGCAGCGCGGGTGAAATCTATGCCAGGAAACCCGGGGTCCGCATAGCGCGCGTGACAAGCGCTGCGTTCGCGAGTGACTCAACCGACGCCATGTCGTCCGTCGTTATCTCTCTCTTCACCCAATTGGATGCAGCCTGGCAAAGCTGGGCAGCAAGCATTTCGGCTGTCAAGAATACCTTTTGCAACTGCTTATGATGCTGCATGCACGCTCTCTGCGTCAGTAAGGGTCTGCCCATCTATCTTCCCTGGCTTCAGGTGTGGAAATCTTCAAGTTGTCAACCATCACACTTTGATCAATAATAACCCCTTCTGAACACTAGTCTTGTTCCTACCCAGTCTGCCTAGTGGTCAGGCGTAACTTGGAGCCCGCTTCTGGCTTTGTTTCGGCTACCAGGCTTTGCCAGATGGCCGAAAGGCTGACAGGGCTGCGACGTTTCGTCAAGTCCACTCTTTCGCCCTTCAACTCCGTCAGGCTCTTCTGTGTCTCTTCTCTCCAAATTGAGTTCAGAGATGGCGATTCTTCTTGCATAAGATTTAGCCTCTCTTCGACAGCCGAAGGCCTCTCACTAATTGTCGAGCGCATGGAGGTCATCCAGTCCGCAGGTCCAATACACATATCGTCTCGATCCAGGAAAATTACCACTTTTCAATATCATACCACATTTGGTAACCAAACTCGTCGCTGCAAAGCAGCATGCGCCTTCACCTTGAAGGATAGCCGATAGGTGAAATAATTCAGCTTGAATATCAGTGACGTCAATCCTCCTGGTTCCACATCTGACGTCTGCGACAGCTTGTCTCACGAACGTTTCCTCAAGGGCACCAGAGCCCAGTATCAGTATGGTATCTCCCACTTCAACCGACCTCCGCTGCCCCAACCCTGGCCTTCACATTCAATCAATCAACTGTCGCCCATTCTCACGTTTGGCAGCATATCCCTCACCCTGAACATCGCCGATTTCTCCATTCGGTACTCGGCTCGGACCTTCCAGCCGAGTTTGATCTCCTTGCGAACTGCCGGTATTACCGACTGGTCTGTATGTTTTCGGGTTGACCTATTAGAAATTGCCTGTGCGGGATAGAGATGTGGCTGGCCTTCAACCACCGAACATCACCAACCACCAGTTCCGAGGTCCAACACGATGCTGCTCACCACATCCGCACATCAGACTCTCCTGGGATCGCGTGGTCTGGCGCCAGTCAGCTTGCAGGCAGCAAAGGCGGAGTTTGGATACATGCCACAACTGGGCACCAATCGACCGTCTGGGAGCCCCTGGGCGTCCCCTCCGCACGTGGTGCCAAGGGTGACATCAGGCGACTTGAAATCCCATGGCAACTACCGTAAGCCCAGCAATGCCCACATTCCCGACCAGTGCCCAGTGCGTCATCTTTAAGCTTTTACAGGAACTCTTTTTGAAGAAAAAAACGTTTTTTTTCGAAGATCGACTTGGTGGCGCCCTTTACCAGATACTATTTGCTCCGGCGGACATAATCAAAACTACCGTCACCGCTGCATTTCGCTCCCTCGAAATTCCTGCCTAGAAATTCCAAAGGTTGATTGACAATGTCTTACTAGGTCTGCCTTTTATGCAAATCTACATCGGTGGCTAGTCGAAACGCTTAGGAACGCAAGGAGCACCTCGACAGCAGTCTTGAAAAGTACAACCTCATCATCAAGCCTTCCACGTGCGTTTCTGGTGTGTCTTCTCCTGAATTCGTTGACTATCATGTTGACTCTGAAGGTTTGCGTCCTCTCCCCATCAGAGTCGAGACCATCCATGGTTTTCTCCCCGCCCAACCTCCAAGCGTCGGTTACAACGTTTCCTTGGCATAATCATCTTTAACTGTCTATTCTTGTCGAACTGTGCTGACCCATGTTACCGCGTACCAAAGTGCTTTCTGGTTCCAAGAGTCCACCCGAACTTACTGGTGAGCATTGACTGCTTTTGGGAGAATCAAAGTTTTCCTGGTTAACGCTGCATTGCTGGCGCCTCCCGTTCCTGGGGCTCCTCTGTCGCTGACGGTAGACACTTGGATACTTTCAACAACATCTTGCTGCTTTGATTCGCGATTGGTTTGGTCGCCATTTTCTTGGCCGTGAAGCACTGCTGACACTTTGATCACCACACAACTGACTCACTGATGGTCCGGAAGACCAGATTGTCCAATCACAATATCTTTGATGAGTGTCTAAAGCGAACGATTACCCACGCATCTTCGCCAGCCGGTGCATTCGTGAACGCGATGACAGAACACTTAACCAACGCCAAATTTTGGCGGGCGCTCCTATGTGCAAAGTAAGTCTTGGAAGCCATTAGTGGCGTTCTTCCATCACTCAGATCTGGAGTTGCCAACAGACCGTAGGCGACCACTAGACGACATATCAGGAGTTCGAAAGGCCCACTTCCAGGGCAGGAGGCGTTCAGATTCGTTCACCAGATCTGGTGTAACTGCGGATGAAGCAACTACTTCGGTGAGACTGGGGAATTGCCCCGAACGTGGACGGCCGGACACACAACAACAACAACAACAACAACAGCAGCAGCAGCAGCAGCAGCATCCTTCTCTTCTGAACTGCTTCCTAAAACTCACCAATTCATTTCTGCCGATTGTTCACTTATTAGTTTGCCGTCCGCCATGAGCATTCTACGGTAGCGTAACAATGTAGTCGGAGTTCTCACATGCCGCGCCGAAATTATTAATTTTGATTGTTTAAACTGATATAGGTACACAAACACTACCAGGGAAAATCTGGTTGCTAAGTGTGTGTTTAGGAAGTAGGTAAACTAGTCGCCGCTTTGTATATTTCAATACAAATGGTTTGGCACGCTCTAAAGTTGGTTATATGTCTGTCGCGCAGAAGTACTCCTACAGATTCTCCCTCGGACCCATCATTAAAGACAGTATTAGAAAAGGGTAATAAATGAACAGGGAGCGCCATATTTGCAGGACGAAGTTGCCCGACAATCGCATGCCGCCCAAAACTTCTTCGATTCACCGTCAGGTCTTAGGAGATGAGGAGTTCACTGGAATCTGGCGTTGAGGTGGAAAAATGCTCAAACGAAGCCT